AGACTTGACGGACTGATTCAAGGCTATAATTTGACGACCCCTGAAACCTTTTCCAAATTAATCCTGTGTCGACTGACATTGCTCTTCGAGGAAGGCGGTGGAATGACATGCACAACGCCTGCCCAAGCCTTCCCAACTGATGTACTTTTACAACCATATCGATTGATTTACCCTCCTTATCTAACACTCTACGCCTAACGTCAGTATTGCTTAACATATTGTACCATCTTACACGCAAACACCAGTGGTCAAAGACAACTAGTCTTTTCGTATCCCCCACTTTCAATGCCTACATTCCACTATCACAACAGGGGAAAAAGGAAACTATTACGCAGCAAACAGGTTCTTTGATGGATAGCTGGAAGTTGAATTAAAGTACACAATAACCTTGAAAATTGAAATGATGTCGCGTCACGTTTGGTTTCTTTTTGACGTATCACCTAGTAGAACGTTATATCTGGAAAGAAAGTTTGAAAACTCCTTACTTTATCAGGAATTTTCACATGACTTTGAATCATAACTGCTTTCTTTAAAGGATAAATCATAGCATCAGACTCACTCTATATGCCGTGTTTATCATCTGCATAAACGTTGCTTAGTTAACTAGCTTGCTAGATTTCTAGCCGGTCCCAAGCCCGGTTAGCTACCCCACACCACAAATCCATTCAAGCTGCTACAGAAACTTCAACGTACCAGAAATATATTAAAAATAGCAAAAATTCAAATAACAATCTTATTCTTCGCTTGAATCGGAGAGGCGAAACGACACAGCAGGCTGGTGAAAGACCCTGGGAAGCCAGTCAGCCAGCAGATGTGTCTTCTCTCGATGAAAGCAAGAATAAGAATGGCGATGTGGAATGTTTGTACAATGTACGAGGCTGGCTGGGAAGGCTGCCCAGGTAGCCAGAGAGATGCGAAGATATGGTATAGAAGTGCTGTGAATCTGTGAGAGCAGATGGAGTGGATGTGGACTGTCAAAATTATCAACTGGTGAGTCAGTAATCTACTCCGGTATGCTCACTCAGAGGACAAACACGAGCACACTGAGTCAATGAATGGCTATCATGATGTCACCAGTGACAGCCAGAGCCCTAATGCAGTGGGAACCAATTCCACACAGGATCATGACAGGAAGATTCAACTTGAAAAGGAAGGAAGGAAGGTTACAATCAACCAATGCTACTCGCAGTGCTTCAAACAATGCGGAACAAGAAAGAAGAAGAAGGAAGACTTTTACAGACAACTACAAACAGTAATGGACAACATCTCAAACGGTGACACTGAGATCCTTATGAGCATTATGTATGCCTACCGGACTGGGAGCAGATAATGAAGGCTCACAAGCTCTACAGGTTCTCACCTGGCGAAATGATTGAGAACGGAGAAATATTTGCAGACTTCTACACTTTCAACGATTTGGTAATCGGAGTCAGCGTGTACAAATACAAGGTTATACATAAGACAACATGGACTTCGCCTGACGGACACACCAAAAACCAGATAGACTTCACATCAATGTTGCTAAAGGAAGCAGAGACTCAGCCAGCCTGCTGGACACAAAGTCGAGAAGGGAAGAAAATGTGGGTTCGTAGCATCATCTAGTTCAAGGAATCTTCAAGTAGAAGCTCAAAAGCTTCATAACAATTGAAGACAGGCTACTGTTATTCAAGTTCAACATTCAGAAACTGAAGGACCAAACTTTAAGGGATGCCTTCACTGCAGATATCAGAGCAAAGTCGGATACACTACGTGGCATCACTGAAGAAACCTGTGAGAAAGGAAGAACATTGGAACTAAATCACTAAAGGTGATGTTCAAGGAGATGTGTACAACTGTTCTGGGAAAAAAGAGTAGGCAAGACAAGGCAAGGAATGACTCTCGACGGATACCTGGAAGCTAATCGAGGAGAGGAGGAAGGTGAAAGGGAAGACGACTCAATGCAAAGATGAGGAAGAGAAGGAGAAGCCGAGTTCAATGTACACTGCACTGAATAAAGAAGTGAAGGAGAGTGGTAGGAAAGACAAAAGACAATTCTACGACACACTGGCTGGCAAATGAAGTAAAACAAGCAGGCAGGTAAAATAGTAATAATCTACTTTGTTCCAAAAACAGTACTTGTAATACAGAATGGAATTCTCAGCATTTGTTACAATATTGTATCTGATTCACTCAAAATATAAATAAAATTAAAATAAAGTTAACCAGAGGAATTTGTTTACATTTACGATATAAAATCAAAAATATTCGAAGTACAAAATGAGAAAAATAAATATTATATTAATAATAATAACAGTAAGTTTGTTTCAAACAGTATTGTCGATTCACTTTGAAAATTTTAGGATGTTATAGATTATTGAATCTTATGTTTTGTTTCTATAGTATGGTGAGGAGAAAGACAAAATTAAGTTACAACACAGTTTAAATGGTGTTTACACTTCTGAGAAAATAAACAAATAAGAACAAAAAATTGAGAGGATTATAAATATAAGAAGAACAATAACAATAAAGCTTGGTGGAATGAGGATGGTGAAAATGGTTTATTTACTAGTGCAAAGAAGGTTAGTTAGTTCATGCCTGGCACTATTTTGACCACGTAAAATACGTGCCAAATATGGTATAGTAAAATTTTTATGCTTAGACGTACGTGTATAAAGAATTCTTTCTTGTTTTACCTGAGGAGACACAAGGTTGGAGCTGGGGTAAAGTGGATGCTCACAGTCTGACAAAATTCCTTTAGCAAATTTGTTACATGAAATCAAGTGCCTATGAATGACTACGTCAACGATATAGCCCAATGGGATACCACTCGTCATACTGACAGTCTTCAGAGTTCTACTTAGTATAAAATAGTCTTTTTTAAGCAATCCAGGAAAGAATAAGGGTGGACAGTAAGGAAGAATAGGTAAGACGCATGAGTTGACCTGAGAACATTATATTAGATAACCAGATCTCTATCCAGGGAGAGATCAGTTCAAATGATGAAACCAATGGAAGATACTCAACGGAACTTGATTATCAAGGAAGAGAAACAAATAAAACAGTGAACTGATCACTTTAATGGACTCTTGAGTCGACCATAACCTGCAACTCGCCCAGAAATACCACCACCACCAGTATCAGGAACAAAACTGTCTAACAGTGGACACCAATCCTCCCACGAAGGCAGAAATCTTGTATGTAATCAAGCTACTGAAGTCCAATCGGAAAGGCATCAGGACCAGGCGCAATTTCCCCTTGTTGCTTTGAACGAAAATACATTGGTTCCTTCTTGAAATTATTATTTTTGTATTTTCAGTTGATCTCTTTTTTATTGGGCTGAATTACTCCACTTTACTTGACATGTTGGTTTCTGCTAACGACTCTAAGGTGATTCTTTCAGGTTAGCATGATGTTGTTTTGTTGAGGAGTCACCTGGAATAAACTTGCAGCCATCATCAACTTAATTATTACTGTTGATTCTATTTATTTACTTACTTACTCCATTTATCTACTCGTTAATTGAAACAGCTATCTGGAGATTTCACTCTGTTACAGATAAGCGAGCATATTCTGTGATAAAATCATACTAACCATCTACTTTAATAGTTCCTTTTTTTAACTAAATGTAAGAACATTAAGGCATAATTTTGTTTTACGCAAGCATAATAATCTATGAATATTTGGGGTGAATTACTTCAGCTTTCAGTTTTAACCAAAATAGTTTTTCATAGCGGCACCAAGCTATTTCATGTTTACTCCAGCATCTTGAGGTTTATGTAATGCTGGAGAGAAAATAAACCATAACTTGATTTCTTTTGGACTAAAACCGGTTGAATGGTGCATAACTCACACGATGTTCATACTGTAAATAGCTTGATATGATTTACCACATCAATTTAACTGGCATGTTCTACAACTGATTTGTCACAGACGTTTTAACAAGTGCTATCAATATATGCTTGTTAACAAATGCTTTAATTCGATGTTTTTAACACGGAGGACAAAAAAATTATATACTCGTGTAGTGATATTTCGGAAATTTGAACTCTAGTAGGATTTAGAACAGCACTGTGTTGATTATTGACCAGATGCTCTACCGACTGAGTTGCAGACCAGTCTTTCAAATCACGTCAGTCACCAGTAATTTCGCATAGCTTTAATGTGAATGAATGGTATGTGATTGTTTATTGAAGATCACTGTAATTCGCCAAGCGAATCTTGCTTTTTCACTCCATTTTTCCCATCCTTCTCGTTTCGAGTATAAAACAGGGCTACAAGCTTTAACGTTTCAATAGCAGTAGTGCTGTTTTTTTACAGGAAGGAGCGGGATAAGTAGCTGCTTTCATACCTAACCTTCCATCACTTCTGCACATATTTAATCAACTCAAACTACGACAGCATTTAATTTGCGTTTTAGGTGGTTAGTGAAGATGGACAGAGTATTAGGTCTCAGTGAGATCTCAGCCGGCAACCTGTGCATTACTATCTTGGTGCTCTGTCAAATGCCTCATAAAATTCTGGTCAGTGTTTTCAAACCTGAAACTTTCAGACAGTCTTTATAACCTGCCGTCTAACTGAAAAGACCATCCGAATTAATAATGCAATACAAAAACTCGAATTTACTGCTGGTATAATGACCTTCAGCGAACAGTCATGAATCATTCAAGAATCCCTTTGTGATTTAAATGAAATAAACATTATTTTGTCAGTAGGGTTGAGGACTAGTCATCCCGTAGTCACTAGCTTAGATGTTATCAAGAAAGTCCTCTAACTAATGTCAGCTCATGATGAAATCCTGTAACCAATCAAATTCCTACAAACCAACACTTGAAAATAAGTTTGTATTCCAGTCAGTCCAACCCGATCTCAAGAATAGTCGGTGGTTTGCTTGAAAAAAACAACTGAAGTCTATACAAAATAAAAAATTATTTAATATTGACAAAAGGTAGTTCATAATGATGAAAGTACTATAAATCATTTAAAACAATTTCTAATAAAATGTATCATAATTATCACAGTTTCCAGAATTTTAATACAGGTACACAGGTAACTGTCTTCATCTAATTGTTTCAATGAATTTGAAAGCATTCTATAACTGCTGAGTTCAAATGAGATTCCACTTGTTAATTTGGTTTTAATAAAATCAATAATTAAAATACTTGATAATGGAATTCATTGTACAATGGAAATAAATTCGTTTGTGTCATACACGATTATTATTCCGCCATTTTATATTAAGAGCTTATAAGTGGATCTCAAATCTATAAAAGTAGGAAATAGAAAAATATGTGACATCTGGTAAAGGTACAGGCTGACAATCAAATGGAAACACTATTACTTCAAATCTAAAACTTAAAATTGGTATAGAGTTAATCCTTTGTAGTAAAGAAACAGTACAGATTGTCCTTCACACTACCAAAGGTTATTGAGTACTCATATATTAATTTTTTTAATGTATGGATTCAATGTTTGTTTTGTGCTTTGAAGTTTCTGTAGTAATTTGATCAATTTGTCGGGGAAGGGTCGCTAGCCCAACGCCCAACCCTCCCTCTTTTTTCAGGCTGGGGATCGGTTAGAAAACTAACGAGCTAGTAAACTCGGTGACTACGAGCACTGATGTGGCCAGCTAAAGATGACCGCTGAGTGGAGACGTTCCGCTGAAGCTCTGTGTTCCACTTGGAATCCACCGGGACAATAATAATACTGTAAAGGTTTATTAATATACTTTCTTTTCAGTTGGTAGTGACTAGAAGGATGCATATTTTATCCTATTTTGGACTCATCAGGTAGACGTATCTGCATTCACAGTGGGTGACGGTGTTCTAAATTGTTAACCAAAGAATAAAAGAATACAAGCCAATTGGTAACTGTACATTCAAAGGCAAACTAAGATTGCACAATTTATACTTCTGAATACATACCAAATAGTTCTTTCTTAATTATTACCACAAAGGTTTTCTGACTAAATTAGTAAGCAGTCGACTCGGTTGGTCAGTTATTTCCCTTTGCTTTCCCCTAGAAAACTGGATTAGATTTTACTACCTTGCAATTTTTTCGTGTTCAACTCAAACATCAGAGAGGGTGTAACACTTAAAGGGTGACTCATACGTCTTCAGAATAAATAAGAAAACTATTGATCTTTCATCAAATTCTCTATTAATTCTTTTAGTCGAATCGGCAAACAACATACCAGTGATCATAGCTTTAATGACTACTGCAATGTTATGTATTCTCTGAGTTATTGTCACTTTATTCTTCAGCTTATCTTTCTTGTCATCATTGATCATATTCACTAAAAAAATCACAGTTGAAGTACGGAGTTTGTCTAAAGTCAAGCATTTTCAAGATCAGACAGAAAAATTGACTAAATTGAAATTCACCATGTGTAGAACCAACTGACCTATAAACTCTTTATTCACATTCAAAGGAGATGAAACAGACTTGGAAGCAACACGAAAACAATAATTACCTTTCACTATCAGAGGTGTACAATCCAAAATGACATATGGTTTGCATGGCTATGTAGCATTAGTATGTTTATGAATGAGGATCATTAATGACCAGTATATTCACTGACCATGTTAATGGCGTATATGTAACTGAGAATTAGCATCCGGCTAAATGATATGATGTTTGTCTCAAAACTTATTCGCATTCCACATCCTAATGATTAGTTGTTAGCCGTTCAAAAGTATATTGAAGCAAGAACGGATCTCAGGTATATCTATTGTAAATACAACATATGTGCATGTTTTAATTAACCGCATAGTGAGACTACCTTCTTCTCCTTCTTGAGAATAATAAATGATTGTTTGCTGTGAATTTTAAGTTGTCTATTTGCAGTTACGTGAACTATCATCAATACGACTAGTCTCCGAGGTACAAAAGTAATGGAGGCTTTTGTAGCAACAATATAAATGAAACTAAAACGCCTATGGAAATATGAAGGTTGTGGATATACAAGGAGAATCTATATATGTGGCTGACACTGTCTACACTGTCGAGTTATTATTCAACTATAGTATGGAAAAAACAAACTGGTACCATATGACTATGAAAACTTTAAAAGATCTACTTTACTCTTGTATAAATACATAATCTATAATACTTGGCATTGATTTTCCGAACTTTATGCCTGTTGCTTGCAAAGAAACATGCCAACTTTTGAGATTTAATTGCATGCAAAGCAGCTTCAATGACAACTGTGTAGCAACTGAAAAAGCGAATGCTCGATGTAATAATAATTTTGAATTTCGTATAACTCTAAACTAAACTGTAAGCATACTGTCCTACTTACATGAAAACAACTTCACTCTTTACGATTTAACCTCCTCTTCTATTGCATGTCTTTAAATTAATTTATGGACATCTGGATATTTTGTTTTGTTAACTTTTCTCAACCAATGAGTGAGTCAACTTATTCACTGAAATTCGTTTATTGTTGAAAACTGCTGTCCATATATCAAGATTATTAGGTCATGCATGCCATTGGAAAACTATCGAAATAGCTGACAATTAGACTGATCATTACGCCGGAAATACATTGTTCATGATAATGTTTCAATAAAGTTGTTCGCAAAGTAACCAAATTTTGAAACTGTTATTAAATACACAGTTAAATAATCAATTAACTTCTTTTCTGATATTTTGGGGTATATGAAGAATTTCTTTAATTTATCGATTTCAATACAAAGTGAATTTTGTATATAATTCCTCAAAGATGAACTTTTTGGATGAAACTGTAGATAAAGTGATAGAGTTTCCTCTCAACTTTTACAATTCTGATGCTTATTCCAGTGTTCACATGAAACATGGAATTCACAAGGTATATTTGGTTTCCCAAAGTGAGGTTTGGTTTGAATAATAGGCAGAGTGCATATTCCTATTTGGTGAATCCTTATTGTGAAATTATTATTGATAAGTATAAAAGTATAGCGTCAATAAAAATTTACATTACACATAGTAGTATTTTCATCGAATGAAACTATTTAGAAACAGTCTAGCGATGTTGGCAGAATCCAGCTTAGAAATATGTTTGCTGGATCGAATCATTCTCTAAAACAGCTTTTTAACTCAGTGGTATTATCTCAGATCGATTCTGAATGACTTCGTCCATCATTTATATTTTTCAACAGTTGACTAGTATTGATAAGAACACCACTAGGGACTCACAAATTCTAAAATAGCTGTTTATCTTAGAACATAATCCTTTGACATAATGCACCAGTGACTCGAATAAATATTGGGCAACGAAGCGATTATTATATAAATTCATCTGTTGAGTAAGACTCATATGAGTTAAACTCGTTAACCTCTTTCAATCAAGGTGCAAAAATACTGTTATCTAGTACTAATGATAGGTAACTGTCAGCACACTCGTATCATTAAAAATGTAGCCAGTGATTTTTACAGAACTTTTAGTGGCTTATCAAATTCCTAAGAGTCTTGAACTAGTAAACAGTAGCTAATATTCACAAAGAGAAAATATATATATAACTCAGAATAATCGAGCAAAGAATATTCTTTTCGATAAATTCCTCTTCTGGCTCTACAATTACATTTATGTTTATATACATAGAATATTCTAAATCAGTAGTCAATAACAATATTAGTGTTTTTTAAATAATATCGTTTTGTAATATTCTATGTATGTAAACACATATATAATTGTAGAGCCGGAAGAGGAATTTATCGAAAAGAATATTCTTTGTCTGATTATTTTGTGTTTTATAGATGTCTGAATGAATAGTTTTGCTATATATATAACTGGAAAGTTTCGCGTGTAACACGTTATTTCTCAGCTGAATTGAGCACCCCTAATTGGACAAATAGACCAAGTGGATGCTTTTTTTCACAGTTAATTCTGATAATAGCAGAGTGTGTAGTTTCTTCCCCTTCCTATCTTTCATCAGCTTCAGACATCTTCTAGTGGCAGAGAAAGTTGAAATCTCCAAAAGTAAAATAATTGATTATTTACACTGACATGCACGAGGTTATACACCAATACACTTTATAACGCTAGACCTTCATCTGAATCTGACTATTATACATTCTTACAATTTAATGAAAGGTAAACCTTTGAATTTCATAATTAACCTGAAGGTATTTTGCAAGGAATCACTCAAGTATTTTAGTTTCTTTGCATTACTTTGTAACAGCAAACAAACTACAATGTTTTTGTCGGACTGCTACTTACGAAACCTATCCATCATGATACGATTGCCTCAAAAAGACATTTACTTTTAAAATATCGCACATGCAGACATTCCTGGTTCCTTTATTACATCAACAACAACAATTACTACTACTAACACATAGTGCCAAATCTAATATTATCAATCTTTGTGTAGTTAGATGAGTTTACCATTATTTTTTCAGAAGATTAAACAAAAATCTTAACTGTAGGCAAAACGAGCTAGCAGGAAGAACCAAAACTATAAAGAATAAGTTTCGTAGTTGTGGAGTTATATTTAATAGAGTCATAAACAATAAACTGTCTACTAAACGTCCTCTGGAAAAGAACACTTTTCCATTATGTCATATATTTAATGAACAAAATAATGTGGGAGTATTCATTCTGATTCTTTCCAAACTTGATCTAGATGTGTCACTTATTGCACTGATATTAAGCGCATAAATGTACCATTCAACCAACTCAAAGAAGACGACTAAGTCAGAATTTGCTATTTACACAAAATTCGAAATTATTCAGCAAGTCCACCTAATCAACCTGTAAATGACTGCTGTTACAAAGTAATTCATTTCAGTAGTCAGTGTATGCACTGCATATTGTTTTTATCAAACTTCACTAATAAAAACAGTTAGTGGGACATTTTTGTATTCCCTTACGTTCCTAGTGGAACATAGGGCTTCAGGCTAGAGCTTTGAAGTTTCAGTAGCAGTAGTATTTATTATTTTTTTAGTGGATGGGGTTGTTAGCCTCATGCCCAACCTTCCCTATTTACCAGTCTTATTACTGGCTGAGCGAGGTAAAGGAGTGCATCGGTGGCCGTGGATTGAACCTCGAACCACATGGTGTGGTTGGCACGCATTCTACCTCTGTGCCACGGACGCAGTGGAACATCAACTCATATAAATCATTGGACTACTTAATTTCCCACCCAGCAAAGTCACTCTGCTTTTATTTTATTCTATTTATCCTTCTACACTTCTGAATTGTAATCTGTAGTAGAGTTCATTCTCGATTAGCCTGCAACCTTTCACAATACTGTGAAATGAAGGAAAATTATTAGGTGAAGATTTAAACGTGTTTCAGGTTGAAAAATACTGTGTTCAGTGATATGATGTCAGTTACTGTTTTACTACAAGATTCTATACAAAGGATAAATGTTTTTGCAATCATTTATGCTGAAAATCCGGAAATGCATGAATACAAATCCTTCAGAATAAAGGCATTATTATTAAATACAGGCATTAAATTCTATACGTTCTATTAGAATAAGATTATTTGAATTACAGGTGTATTAATGATACCTGGTGTAGCAATCATATGGTTATCTACTTAACTAGAATAACATTTAGAACAAAACATTTCTCCACATCTACTTTAAATATTCAGTAATTTTTTAAATCACAGGCTTAATATCTGTAGAAAAACATTAGTATGAATTTATGAGGTATTCCACTTTCCTTTATGAACTGCAACCATAGTTAAAAATACAAAATAGTTAATGTATCGAAAAATAACAATACGCATTAAACAACAAAAATTTGGTTTTTACCTAAAGAACTTTTGAATTCAAATGGTTTGTCCTCCTGATATAACATTGAAATACCCTGGCATAACTTCTGCTTGACACGCTCCAGAGGGCATAAGTTCACCATCTAACATCGTGATAACTGATGAATTGGGATATGGATCAACGCGTACTGCACTGATCTGCACGATGTCCATGTAAGGAGTCGATTTTAAGCCTTTGCCACTTGATATTGCCTGAGCGATGCGAATTAAATCTAGCCTATAAAAGGGATTATACAAGTGATTATCAGAATGACTAAGAAATTGAGAACTACACTTAGCCTAAATTAAGCTGCACATTTTCAGAAATTACCTTACGGAATATCATAATTTCACTAGGAATTGTAGTTTGATAAATTTATGTTGGTGTAAACTACTGGTGCACAATTCAGTCGATAGTGCTTCCCAGTTAGAGTTAGGGGCTTTGAAAATAGGATGCATCGTTTGCTAATGATTTCATTCTTATTCAAGCAAAACGGCTATATAATGCTTGAACCCATCTGGCTAACAAGCAAATAACCTGGGGGAAAAATACATTATTTATAATTATTGATAAAATTGTCGTCCCATCTCTACAACCAAGGCAATAGTCTCATAATGACTGATCTAGTTATCTCTACTTAAAACTGTGTCACATTAAAATTTTACACTTCAGACGTAATACTTCCATATATGGAATTATGGGCTGGATTTTAGTAATTTTTCAAAAATAAATAAATAAATAAACCTGAAAACTTTTCTGTTACCTTCGATCTCTACGGCATAGAATTCCATTTTTTTAAGTCATTGTTTGAAGTCACCATAAAAATTTATCAATTATTTTAAGTTAGGTTAGTTTGAAAAATGGAGATACAGTGTCATTGTGGTGTTTTTCATTTCAACTGAACTGATCAAAGTTTAGATAGCGTCAAAGTGGTAAGATCAGGCACGTGCTACTCCAGTGTGTTAGAATTCATAATATTTTTTTTTCGAAATTTCTTATGAAATCATGGTCCGTGGAATGGTGGAATCCTTTCAAAATATACCGCATAGTGATCTTCAGTTAAATAGTCTTAACGGTTTTGTGCTCTGTAGTCACCACTAATCAGACGATTAAATACTTTAATAATGTGAATCATATTCCACAGTATCAACAAACAAAGTGTTCCAGACATCAGAGAAATTCCATAGGTACAATATTATTTCAGAATGAACACCAGCTGTCCAGTCATCTGCACCTGTAAATGATAATTCACATGCTCTCCCAACAGACAGTACAGCGTTTCAGTTTACGTTTAACTTCTATTTAAGCAAGAAAGTAGTAAAGTTCGAAATTACAAGGTTGATAACAATCTAAATCGATTAGAGTTGTGATGTGGTGAATCATTAAGGATTTTGTTTACTTTTAAAAAGCGAGACATCTCACACCAAACTTAGCACTACACAGTTACACCTATAGATTTTTATCACCTAGTTTATGGGTGACTCACAACTGATTAAGAAAGTATTTCTTTCCCAGAAGTGGATTTTATCAAAGTAAAACAGCCAAACAATGTGACTGCTTTAATTTTTCAAACGACTGTTTAATTTAGGCAGCAATGCTCCAAACTTGTTGGGCTTCTATCTTTCATAATTTCAAACAGACGGCCACATATAGAATCAATTAAAATAATCCCAGAGTGTCTAGAAAATCAAAACGATCTGAGGAATTCTGCCAAAAAGGCTGTGGATGACACAGCAAAAAGTTCAGGAAAATCTTGTTTTGATCTTACAAACACATTGGGTTTATTTTAGTTAATTTTATAATGATTCTATCTGACCTGACGCTCAAATTATTCCGGATGGTCAGATAGTCTATAGATATCTAGAAGAATGAGGAACACGTAAGCTCCCAGCAGTCACTACAATCCAACAGTTTAAACTAGACTGCTAAGCAAATGATTTATGCGATGACTTATCAACATAGCTAACTTTTGCAATTCATCCAACACAGAATATCATGACTAAACACTTTACATTGTATTCTTTGTCAAATCAGCTATTCATATATGTTCCAACTCATATTCTTTTCTGCTTTGGACAGCACACTATCAGACTTTCAGAGTTTTTGTCTAGTAGACCTGAAAACAAATGGCTTTGATGGTAGCGTACTTCGTTATCCAAGCAGAGCACAACCCTTAGACCTGAGTTCATACTGTTAGTTTAGTTCTCTAAACAAATTCTTTCAGAGTATTATAAGATTTGTGCAGTGTTCAAAAATACAGAAAAAATATGGAACGTCTGCTATATTTTTAGTTTCTCTGATGTCTAATTCATTTTATCTAGGCCCAAAGTACTCTTGACAAATGAGTTGGAACTAACTGGCCTCCAAAAAGCATGCGTAAAATACTGAAGTACTGGATGAGCAGCCTGCTCTCCTGAACTCATTCTAGAAAAACGACTACTGAGTATAAAGCTTTCATGCTTGATTCTGATGTCCTTGGACGTAAACAAACTGAAGAAAATATAGTTTTTTGACCACACACATGAGTGGGTAGTCTCCTTCGAAGATGAGAATATATCTTAGTATCCACTGTTGGTTCTTTTTAAATCACAAGTTGCGTCACAAAATTTACATGTGGTTTCTTCAAAGTGACCGCGAATTTTCGCTTACCATATTTGTGTAAATCGGAAAGTGTCCTTGTCCAGTAAAAGCAAGAAGGCTTGTTAAAGAAGTGTGCATCCATTTTCTTCTTTGCCATTTCCGGGTATTATATATTTTCTGTAACCCGAATGTCTTTATGCACACCCTTGAGATGTTAATTCTAATTATTTAAGAGTTTTGCGATGATTTTGTTGAACGAAATGTTACAATATATATATGCCATCCCTAATTTAGATATATATTCTACAATTTTTAAATTTTTATTATGCATGATATACAAGCAACAAGAAGTCGTACACACATCCTAAGGTCAATTAAGCTTGCATAAATAGTACCTGACTGTAAGCCACACTTTGATGTGTGGCTGAATACATTTCTAACTGGTTATCTGGATTTAAACAGATGCTGAGACTATGTAAGATAATAGTGGATTTATAATAATTATATGATAGAAGGTGAAGTGAAAACACCGGCTGCAGCGGAATCTAAACTAGAGACTTCAGGATTACCAGTTTGTAATGCTTAACGCACACTAACATGTCATTGAAACATACGAAGAATTGGTATTACTTGTTATGATTGCAATGAAATTATGATGTGATCGGAAGCTGAATCTGGTAGCTTAGTTGGCAGAGCGCAGGAATGCTAGCGCTAGTTGAAATACGAATGAAAACCGAGTGCCTAAGCTAATGAAATGTGTCTAGTATACAAATCACTTAATATCGTCGAAATGTTTCCTTACTTCGGGATTATTTTTTTTATAGCAATAATGATACAGCTGAATTAATATTAAGTCAGTGTCATCAGTCATCTGTGTACTCATAGTCAGTGAACACTTTGTATCTATGCAAGGATCTCAAACAAATGCATAAGGTATTTATTAAAATTAGGCAGAATTCGTAATCTTTACTAAAACAGTATAATATCCTACCTGACCTAAAAATAAACTGTTGTTTGTGTGAAATAATACAGTTATTTTTTGTTATTAATAAATAACAAATACTTAAGAAAGTACAAATAAAGCAGAGATAAACAAATCAGTAGAGATTAATGTACAAAATGAGTTTATCAACTAACCTTGTTGTATTTTTATGTATTATTACTAAACTTAAGTATGGATCACTGAAATGTGCATCTGGTTGGACAACGGCACTAGCTGCCATATGTGAATGATTTAACACTAGTATGGAAATGAATTCGTCATCTAATACAACCCATTTTCCATTATCATTGGAAATTGGTTTATCAATGTCAGGAAGGTAACTGTAAAAAAACAAAAAAAAACTTAGAATAATCGTTAACAAAAACAAAGTATACTTAATATTTCTTAGAGTTATTCTTTAAAAAATGAAGGGAAAATTTGATCTGTGAATTTGTAGTGATTAACATTAACTACTTAAAAGTTACAACCAAAATGTTGCTGGATTTGAGAGTGATTTTAAAGCAGATGGCATAAAAGTAATTTAACTGAAAACTAGTGTTCCCACTTTTGATATGGTACGACTTCACTGAAGTATTTTTATGATAACTTACTTCAACTATCTGTCAGAAAATAATGAAATGCAGTCTTTTTGTTCTTTTAGTGTCATTCTTCGAAGCTGGTGTGCATCGGTGGCTTAGCGGTCAAAAGCTTGCCAACCATGCATGTGGTTCGGGGTTCGATCCACCGCCACTGACGCACTTTCTTACCTTGATAAGCCGGCGATAAGACCAGCAGAGAAGCGAAGACTACACGTGCGGCCAGCAACCCCACCCCTCAGAAATAAACACTACTGCTATCGAAACACCAACGCTCTAAATTCAAGCCCTATACTCCACTGGTGTGTAGTTCAAAAGTGGATAACATTTAGATCCATAATGGTATTTTATTTGTCAACCTACTGTTATTCCCATTTATGATAGCAGAGGATTACGGTAGCATGATACACTTGTAATAGAGACTAGTAGATATGAATTAACAACTGAGTTATTCTTCATTATGTGGTTACTTTTTTAATTACAAAATTAACTTACTACCAAGATTTACTCGATATTTTGATGGAGTCAGTGGATTCATTAGGACGTCTTCTTAAATCCTTAACATTTTTATTTACCTGTGTTAAGGAAAACACACAAAAAATACACTGAGTATTATTACATAAATTTTGTGAATCTGTGCTTTAATTAAGTGCAGTAGAAATGAGAAACTGTCCAGTTTTGAGTGATTGGCAATGACGAAAGCCCAAGACAACCAACATATAACACAAATGATGGATAGTATATAACCTGTAATTCTGTGATAATATAACAATAGATGCTTAGATGGGCTTAAATGCCACAACTCAGTTACTTTTTCTTTTTTTTTCCTTGCAAGTAGCCAATAGTATAAACATTCGTCTGATTCCTTTTTTTCTTAAGAACTGTAAACTAGAAGTCACTTTAGAAATCTGAGAGAGTGCTTGACGATTTACAGACTGTGTTGATAGTGACTTATTTTTTTTATTCTGGACTATCACTTTTCTTCATCCATCATGAATCTGCCTGTACATGCCGTCTCTTTAAACAGTGTATTGGCAGGGAACGTTTTAGACATGCTTATATCAAAGTATAAGTTTTTAACAAAACGGTCGATATATTTGTTAGAAAAAAGTCCAAAGAACAGAAACAAATTCCTATGATATAGAGTAATCATTCTATTTGATGCGAAGATGATTTTTATGTCTGATATTTTTCTCAAAGGTTAAGCCTTTTTACTAAAAGAGGCACCGAAAGTTCTTTGTATAATGGCAGTATGCCCAATAAAACATTTTTTAAAGTTTTGTTTCTTAGCTTAATCACTGATTGTCATGTGATAAGTCTAATTTTAATGTTGTCCTTCAGTATCACAGATTTAGTTGATATAAAACTGGCTATAAAATTATGTCTCGGCTGCAACCGGATGCCCCCTTCACTTATGTGGCACAGTGGTAGAATCCTCGTCAACCACGCATATGATTCGAGGTTCGGTCCCCGGTCGTTGCACTCCTTTACCTCACCCAGCCAGTAATAAGACTGGTAAGGAAGGAAGGTTGGAAATGAGGCTGCCAACCCCATCCCGTAAAAATAAGCACCACTGCTACAGAAACTTCAAGCCTCTAACTTGAAGCCCTATATTCTACTGGGAACGTAAAGGAATACAAAAAAGCTTCTACTCAAAATTTCTGTATCGGTTGTTGGATCGGGTCCCAGTGGCTTAATAGTCTACGAGCTAGCTCGCCTTGTAACCAGAAGGTCCTGGGTTCGAACCCCTGTGGTGGGTGCTGCTGAATAGTCCCAAACTAAGCTGACGAAACAGCTGTCCAGTACTCCCAGGTTTTTCAGTGACACTCTAATTGATGTCAGCTCACGATAAAATCCTCGAACCAATCAAACAAAAATCCCTACGAAACCAGTACCTGAAAAGACAGCTTATATTGGTTAAATTTGTGATACCCATCAAAACTAGAATATATATATAAGTGATTACATACCAGTGATGATTGGGAGATGGAATCTTCCTCTGTAGTTTTACTTCCATTGTTTTTTAAATTTTGACTTTTCTGATTGTCTATTGGTAGATATGACAATTTAGCCCGATATGATTGTTTTTCTGTTTCATAAGAGTAAAACATTCAAAAGTTAATTCATGGTTAACTATGCTTTTTTAAAAGATTTTGAGTGTATCCAGCCTGACATGTGAATACTAGCATTATTTTCTTTACCTATCCTTATTCAAGCTTCTGCTTAATAAGGCTTTCGACTCTAGTCTAACCATTTAAGGCAGTACTAGTTTCTCAGAATGTGAAGTCGATAAATTTTCTGTGTGGATCAAGTAAATGAGCTTCCACTGACCGAATAAATGCTTAATGGTTGCCACACTTCTGTTTTCCTAAAATTGTTCAAGTTCATAATTTTTTAAGAAAAGTGATGAGTTGTATGATAAACCAAACCTCTGTTAACAGAGGTAGGCGTCAAAAGCAAAGGCAGTGGCAGAAAAGTAAGTGATAGATAACACCTATCAGTAGTCACGGCTTTCCAAGAAAGTTGGTTCTAAAGGAGCTGTAATAGGTGAAATAATCTCCGGCAAGGGTTGAAATTCAGTGACTTCTCGAAAGAGACACTTGAGAAGTTAATCAGCTTAAATAGTGTAGTATCCACAACCTTAGCTTCCATAGTCATGTGGAGAAGAAACAGCACCTAAGTGGACAGAACCCATAAGACGAGACAAAGATGGATGATTCTGTCATATATATATATAGCCTTTAATTGGTACTGGAACACAGACGTCACTTGGCTCCTGTAATTGAGAGGTGCTTTAAGAGTCTGCCAGAGACTCTTGATAGAGTTCATTGTACTACTCAGTGCTCTCCACCCGAATTTATGCAGTCATATAAGGGCTTACAGAGATTTGTGATTTGAAGTTGTTACAACCAAGAGTGAAATCGTTAAGTGCGTTGACTACTTCACTTATCTTGGAAGTTTCCTCAGCATAATTTCAAAAGACTGTTTCAACACTCAACAGTTTGAGTAATCTCTGGTGCCGGTGGGATATCCAGCTATCTATCAAAGTAAGTGTATGCGGTGCTGCAGTATGACTCATCCTTGTTTACGTTTGTGCGATTGTCTCTGAAGGCAGAACATATGAAAAAAGTAGGGGTTTTTGAAGATAGGTGTCTGTATTCAGTCTTTTGTGTTAAGTGACGTAGTATAGTCAGAAGTAGTGAGGTTCAAAGCAGAGTGTTTAGTAAGGAGGGAAAGCCAGTCAATAAGGTTGTAAAGCCCCAGTCAGTGATGTCACTAAAACATGTAATACGCATGCTTCTTCGACGAGTAAAGTTAACAGATATAAGACTAGTCCGAAAAAGAGTTAGTTGTCTTTAGGCCACTAGTCTGCAAAGACTGTAGTTATTTGCTTGCGGTATATAAAAAAGCATAGGCTGCTTAGACGCTGTCTTTGAGTTACTGAGAATGAATGACTGGAGCTTTTGGGTGAGGCGGCTGCAAACGTATTCACCACACGGGATTTTTCCGATCCTGAAAATCTCTTTAATTCTCGTCTCCCTGCCCCATATATTTGCAGCCCATGTAATCCTATTATATTTTTTCCTAACTTTTACGTGTGATTTTTCGAAGTCTGGCATTATAAATTGGTGCCATTTTGCTTCCACTTCTTCGCCAATAAGTCAGTTACCAAATCGCTATATTTACATATCATACTAACCAAAAAAACATGTTATGGAAATTGGTTCTGCCAGAAGTGCACCAGTGCTGTTCTCACATCTTTGAATTTCTAACCAAAACTACTTAGTTTCATGTAGATTTAGAAATGTAGCACAATAGGTCGGCCAACATACGAAGAGGCTGCTATGGTAATTCTTAAAGTAATCCATATGAAGTTCACTTAAACGACTGAATTCCGTCACGTTGACTCCAGCAAAGCTGTAAGGTCAGTCATAATAGGTGTCCAAGAATTCGAATATCTACTATTCGGTTTGTAGGAGATATTGTTAGATTTTAATAAATAGCGATCGAAAATTATAATCTCCCTTCTATAAAACAGTTCATCGTGGTGAAACTTTGATTTGATCATTTATTACTAAATGACTTTTATTCACCAGTACTCGTTGCTCCTAGTTTAATTCCTTAACTATATGTATCACACAAAAGGAATCAATTTTAGTATGTCAACAAATAAGAGGCATTATAAATGAGTTACACCGATCGATGTTGATCGTTACTATTTTTTTAATGGACTGTCAGATAACTGGATCATGTAATAAGCTCAAACACGTTTTATATGGTTGTCGAATTATATGAAAATGCTGTTCAAACTAAAAGCCTTATGGAGGAAGCATTCAAGGGATTACCATATCGAAAATAAAATGGTTTACAATAGTCACATTGAAAATGTAGGTAGTAATGTGGTGTTTTAGATAACTGAGAAACAATTGTTTCGGTCAAAGCTATCAAACAAAATCACTGCATAAGTGTAGCTCAACTTTTCAATCTAATCACAAATGTTGTTAGTATTTTTTTATGCAAATGACATGTCAGGTGAAAGAGGATGTGTCTTTTGTAAGTGATCACAAAAACTTACTCAGAATACAGTAGTAACCGTAGACTGCAAATCTGGTTTCTCCCATCCAACGTAATTTTTCACTCTTGTAGTCTAAATCAGAAAATATTCCCCATTCAATAGACAGAACACCAAAGTGACATGAGTTCTTGTTGTCTGTTCCGAAACGTATGCCGGTCAAGGGACTTATACACTGGAAAGTTGGTAAAGTCAGCCTCAGTTTTCCTTCATCACTCACCATGCCCATTTCATACTCCGGTAATGACATAGTTTCAGGTGGTAATGATAAAAGGAAGACTGAATGTAACAAAATTGAAGACTTTGCTAATAAACTATAATAAATTGGAATTCAAAAAGAGAATGTGGAAAAGTTTAAACGTCAAATAAATTATATTATCAATCGAGTTAAGCAATTTCTACTTGAAAAACTGGTAAGTATCAGTTAGGGAAAAAGATGGTTGCACCTCCTTGAAAGCATACACAAAATATCACAGGGTTATAACTTTTTTAAGCTTTAATCTTTCGTCTGGCACATTATAATTCTGAGTGTTGCTTTAGCCAATCAACCTGTTGTAGTGACTAGATTATATCGTCAGGTATGATAAAAAAAGAACTGAGATGTAAACTTATTATTATTCCCTTGGGTTCTGAGCGGAACACAGGGCTTCAACAACACATCTCGGCTCTGTTCTATTTTCTGCTGTCCTCTTCATCTGGGTCCTTGACTATCCATAATCTCTCATCTCCCCCTCCAACACACCATCTCCTCAAGGTCAACTTCAGACGACCCAGTCTTCACCTCCCATTCAAGTTCCACTCTAGCGAGGGCCCGCCGTGTGATGTCATTCAACGGCCTCTTCAACTCATACCCAGTCCATCTTTATGTTTTCCTACATATTTGGCTGAGAAATAGGCTCTTGCTTGGCTTATTCCCAGTCAGAGTTTCTTGTTGCTAATTCTTTCCACCGGTCATTTGATCTTCAGTATGGAGCCGAGGGAGGCAGCTGTTGATAAAAGTCAGTAGTCTGTTAGAAGTCTATTTCGTAATGAGCCAAGTTTCTGACCCGTTTAAGAGAACTGACTGACTTCACATTCTGTGTTCTGCGGCGAAGTGCAGAAGATTTCCAAACTGGTTTCAGAATGATGAAGGCGTATCTTGCCTTTCCGATTCTGTCTAATTTTGACATCATCTGTTCCGCTGGCTATGATTAAAACAATTCTGCCTTGACGGATAAATGAAGGAAGTAACCTCTGTCAGCCAGTTTGTTGCCTTTCACCTGGGAGTCTTCGAGTTCGTGTGGCATTAGACATAAATCATCTGCGAAATCCAGATCTTATGGGGTCTTTCTATCGGTCCAAAGTATTCCTATCTTCTCACTGCTAATACACAGTCTGACGCATAATCCAGTCCACCTTAGTTAGCAATATCAACAGTGACAGCAGACAGACAGCCTTGTCTTACTCTTGTATTCACTTCAAAGGTAGGCTTCTCTGAGTTTTCCATTATGGATCAACTGGCATGTGATACTGTCATGTAGTCAGCCGTTGAATGAGTACTGAACACCGCAGTGTTGAAGCAGTTTCCAAATTACTTCTCGGTCGACGATGTCGAAGGCATTTTCGAAGTCCATGAAGTTAAGGTGCAGGTTTGACTGCCACTCTATGCTTTGTTCGATAACGATGCGCAGAGTTCCAATTCGATCAGTATTATATGATTTGCCTTTCTTGAATCCAGCTTGTTCCGGCAGTTGGGGTTCTTCACCCAGTGCATCCTTTATTCTCTCCATGATGAGGTGACTTATCACTTTACTTCGCGTGGACATAGTATTATTCCATTTCACTTCTTGCGGATGCCCAAGTCGCCCTTCTCTGGCAGCTTGACAAGGTAGCCTTTCTTCCAGACAGTGGCCACCATTCCTTCTTTTCTGACTTTTGCAATAATCGCGTGATCATATCTGTTGCAGTCTCTAGATCTGTTTTCAGTGGTTCGGGGAAAATTGCGTCTGGTTCTGCTGCCTTTCCGATTGAACTTCAGGAGTTTGATTGCACACAAAATTTCCACCCTTGTTGGAGGATTGGTGCCCACTGTTAGACAGTTTTGTTCGTGATGCTGGTGGTGGTGGTATTTCCGGGCGAGTTACAGGTGATGGTCGACTCAAGAGTCCTTTAAAGTGATCAGCTCACTGTTTTATTTGTTTCTCCTCCTTGGTAATCAGGTTCCGTTGAGTATCTTTCATTGGTTTCATCATCTGGCTTGATCTCTTCCCGGATAGAGACCTGGTTATCTGATATAATGTTCTCAGGTCTCCTCCACCAGCGGATTGACTGTTCTCCCTCATTTGTCAGCCAGTGTGTCGTAGAATTGTCTTTCGTCTTTCCTACCACTCTTCTTCACTTCTTTATTCAGTGCAGTGTACATTGAACTCGGCTTCTCCTTCTCTTGCCCATCTATACATTGAGTCATCTTCCCTTTCACCTTCCTCTTCTCCTCGATTAGCTCCCAGGTATCCGTCGAGAGTCATTCCTTGCCTTGTCTTGCCTCCTCTTTTTTCCCAGAACAGTTGTACACATCTCCTTGAACATCACCTTTAGTGACTTAGTTCCAATGTTCTTCCTTTCTCACAGGTTTCTTCAGTGATGCCATGTAGTGTATCCGACTTTGCTCTGATATCTGCAGTGAAGGCATCCCTTACAGTTTGGTCCTTCAATTTTTGAATGTTGAACTTGAATAACAGTAGCCTGTCTTCAACTGTTATGAAGATTTTCAGCTTCGCCTTGAAGGTTCCTTGAACTAGATGATGCTCCGAGCCCACATTTTCTCCCCTTCTCAACTTTGTGTCCAGCAGGCTGGCTAAGTCTCTGCTTCCTTGAGCAACATTGATGTGAAGTCTATCTGGTTTGTGGTGTGTCCGTCAGGCGAATTCCATGTTGCTTTGTGTATAACCTTGTGTTTGTACACGTTGACTTTGATTACCAAATCGTTGAAAGCGCCGAAGTTTGCGAATAATTCTCCGTTCTCAATCATTTCGCCAGGTGAGAGCCTGTAGAGCTTGTGAGCCTTCATTATCTGCTCCCAGTCCGGTAGGCATAAATAATGCTCATAAGGATCCCGCTGTCACCGTTTGAGATGTTGTCCATTACTGTTTGTAGTTGTCTGTAAAATTCTTCCTTCTTCTTCTCCTTCTTCTCTTGTTCCGCATTGTTTGTAGCAATGCGAATAGCATTGGATAATTGTAACCTTCCTTCCTCCCTTCGTTTTCAAGTTGAATCTTCTTGTCATGATCTTGTGTGGAATCGGTTCCCACTGCATTGAGGCTCTGGCTGTCACTGGTGACATCATGATAGCCACTCATTGACTCAGTGTGCTCGTGTTTGTCCTCTGAGTGAGCATACTGGAGTAGATTACTGACTCACCAGTTGATAATTTTGACAGTCCACATCCACTCCATCTGCTCTCACAGATTCACAGCACTTCTATACCATATCTTCGCATCTCTCTGCCAACCTGGGCAGCCTTCCCAGCCAGCCTCGTACATTGTACAAACATTCCACGTCGCCATTCTTATTCTTGCTTTCATCGAGAGAAGACACATCTGCTGGCTGACTGGCTTCCCAGAGTCTTTCACCAGCCTGCTGTGTCATTTCGCCTCTCTGATTCGAGCGGTGAATAAGATTGTTATTTGAATTTTTGTTATTTTTAATATATTTCTGGTACGTTGAAGTTTCTGTAGCAGCTAGAATGGATTTTGGTGTAAGGTTACTAGCCCCACGCCCAACCCTCCCTCTTTATCCGGGCTTGGAATCGGCTAGAAAACCACTCAGCTAATAAACTAGGTGAGGTTGAGATGTACGGTACGCAGCAAAATTATAAATGAATGATATATATAAGACAGTTTTTTAGGTTTATTGAATGCTAAGAAATAGGTTTAAGCTTCAGACTTGGCCATTTTGGCACTTGGTTACTGGAAATTAACACTTTAAACACATAATTTTGTAAAACTTATATCTGTATCTTTGGGTAAATAAACTATAAAATAATTAGTAACAGATAGTAGTTTTTAAAGTATACTTTAAGGTAGCCTTATAAATATTGTCTTTGTGAATATTTTTTGTCATTTTCATGAACCACTGATCTGGGCAGTGGGTATAATATAGTTTTATAGCAAGCTTCAAAGTTTGACAAATTTCTTAAATAAATATAACTTCGTTCAATACAATCTGTACATGTTCACTAGTGATTTCTTAAAACTACCTAATATGCATGGCATATAGTGCGAATGATACACAAGTAATACACCAAAGTTCGTAGCTGCTGTTAAGCGATAATAAATGACCAATTAACGCATGAAATTTATTACAGTAAATGTATCATTGAAATATATGTATATATATTTATGTGTAGCAGTTTGACCACAACTCCTCGTTAGATTGCAGTTTTTCCCCTTTGGATATGAGATAAATGAGAAAAATGCTATTGGTAAAGCGGACACCCATTTTCTAACAAGACAACTATGCTCACGGAATTCTAGTGATTAATATTCTTTACTATAGAAATGCATTTTAATTACTGAACCAGCAGTATGGTAGTGAATAATCGTAGCTTGATATTCTGATTGCAGGGTGGTATCTGACGGAATGACCGACTGGTTTCAACATAGAACTATGCACAGATGTGCAACAGTTCAAGTCGCCACAATCTCTCCTTGTAGCACATACAGAAAGACAAGAAAAGAAAAACAGAAACATTAAATGGAGATATGAGGCAAAAAGAATAGTAATATCGAGGAACCTTATAGTTTTACTGGATATTATAAGTCATAAGGAGTGAATGCATCTGCACCAGCCATTGAGAACAGCGATCTTGAACCATATCACCAACTGTCTCAAGCCTTCATTGGTTTATTACCACCCCGATCTGAAACAGTGATATTTGGTGGGTTTTCAAATATGTGAAAATAGCTTGCCTGAATTACCTGAAAGACAGTTTGTGTTTTCTTATCATTCAGTATTTGTATTCTTAAGTGAATAATTTGAGCATTAAATTATTTCTTTACCAGTAGTTTTAATTTTATGTTGTCAAATATACTATTTCCGAAGAGTGTATTGTGTTACCTGAGTACTTAAAATTGTGCTTAAAACGGGAGGCTTTCGTTTAGCCTTGTCTCGGTTGCTTTATTCTTGTCGGAACTTATGTTTGCCTCAGAGTGACTTTCATACCACTCGATAGGCAATGTTAGCTGCTTTAGGGTAAGGTTGTAGAAGAGCGCGTGGTGGTGGTCAAACCAAATCATGGCTTCATCAGTCAATGAAATCCATGACAGTTAGTTTCAGTCAGCCACGTAGGAAGGTATAGACTTCTCGGTTGGCGGGTTGATGTCCTCGGGATGGTAAAAACCAATGAAGGCTGGAGACAATTGGTGATATGGTTCAAGATCGCTGTTCTCAATGGCTGGTGCAGATGCATTCACTCCTTATGACTTATAATATCCAGTAAAACTATAAGGTTCCTCGATATTACTATTCATTTTGCCTCATATCTCCATTTACTGTTTCTGTTTTTCCTTTCTTTTTCCTTTCTTATCTTTCTGTGTGTGCTACAAGGAGAGAGTGTGACGACTCTAACTGCTGCACATGTGCGCAGTCAGTCAGTGATAATATAGATTTTCACTGGGACAAAACAATCTGTGTAATGAACCACAAACTCAAGAGTGACATTTCGCTCACTACAAAGCTCGTAGGAAGGCCTTGATCAAAATGGCTGTTGCTGCAAATCTTTTAATCCGCCGTCCAAGACTACTCGTTCACTGAATTAAATATGTATATATACTTGGAGACACTAGATTACTACTGAAGCACTACATCATGTCAATTTTTGGTGAAATCGTTCCATAAGTTAAAATATTTTTCAAGGTGGGCTTCCTGAATAACTAACTGTTAATACCTATAAAACTCTAAGAAGAACATCCTTCTTATTTACTTAGTACAGAAAAGTTTAGTTACCCTGAATGATGACAAAGTGCTGCAGCAGTTGCATTGCCGGTACCTGCAGGTATAATTCCAATAGGTACTCTGTATTCTTCGCCAACGTTGTAGTCTTGTCTTAACGCTATTGCACGTACAACTTCATTAATTAATCCATCGCCTGAACATGGAACAACAGCACGATAACTGGAGATTTCTTCCTCTGATAATTTCAAGATAAAATCTTGCGCATGACCGGGATATTCTGAAATTCAGAAATACAATTATTATTTCCCTTATAAATATGACTTTATCAACTGTTTGAAATTACATTTTGAGGCGAAAATATAAAATACAGGCTTCTGAAACTAACTTACACAGAAATGAAAAAAATCAATCCCTAAGCTACTTATTACACTTACAGTGTGAATAGCTCTGTAATTCTTCTGAAAACAAAAATGTAAATCCATAGATAAGCTGTTTATTATATTACATAACCCGAACTTTTTGTCCAGACGTCACCTTAACTGCACACTAGCAAAACAGTATAACTCACATCTGTTTCATGCCTATTTTTAGACTTAATGATAAGATTCTATTAACATCTACCTACAAAGATAATGATGCTAGTTATTCTGATGTGACTGATCAGTTTCGTCCATGGTTTGTTTGCCTTTTTTGTATACTGTAGTTCCTTTCTGTCAGTCTTATTACCTCTTTAAGTTTTTGTAAGCAAACAATTTCAATTGACAAATTATGTCAGTCTACACTTTTATTATGTGTACCAACTCAATAAAAAGGTTATCAGTAATAAATTTGCTTGACTAACTTAATATAGAAATATCTTTTTATTTTAAAAAATAATTATTCCAGCCATTTATGTAGGTCACTGCACGTCTTATTTTCTACACTAATTTCTTAGTTTTTAAAAGTACTAGTTTCATTGAGGATAATTGTAAAGAAGACTTTATAAACCCTTCATCACTCACTGAGAAATACAGGTACATCCAGACGACGAGTCCCAAATAGGACGAAATGCGCATCCTGGATTCCACTGCTAGTCACCATCCACCAATTAGATTCAACACAACGTTAATTTTTATAAAATATATATATGGTAAATGTAAAATTGAGATTTAATTAAAGTGAATGAGATTTTTCTCTCCGTTTCTGTGAACTAATCTTATTGATTCCGATAGGCAATACTTATCATTATAACAAAGAAAGCCAGTCATTATCGGGAAAGCAAGATAAGTATTCAGCAACCTGATATCACCGTGATCCAGTACACATACCACAAGGAACAAGATCATCTTTTTAAACAACAATGTCAAGGTAATCCTTCTACATAGTTCAGAGACCCATCATATGCGTCACGAAAAGCATTTCCAACAGGCTACTGAGGAATTTCATCAACACCTATCTTCGCTCCATACTGAAGATCAGATGTCCGACTGACTATGAAGAATAAACAACTATGTGTTCTGAAAGGTAGCGAAACAAACAAAAAACGTATTACCCAACAAATATCCAGAAGGAAATGGAGATGGAATGAATTCAAACTGACTGGATCGTCGAGTGATATCACATGAGAGGTGGTCGAGTGGAATCCAAATAGATAGTGATGAGTTGGGTTTTCAAGGGTGAGAAGGAAATGAAAGCTTGTGGTCAGTTGTGTAGATAGCTGAAAGTGAAGCCCTACGTTCCACTCGCAACTCAAGGAATGAATAACAAGAATAGTGACTGGTTGACTTTACCGAAACCTGTAGTCCTTGTCAGCCACACAGAACAGATCCACACAGCGGACTGTTCACTGTACAGATTATATATTCAACCAATCGTTTTCTTCTCCCTTTAGTTCATCGCATTTTCTATAAAAGTAGATATATCTCTTGAGTTAAAAACTACCTTCGTATTGTCAAACGTTGTGCAATTGTTTACTTTAAACAAAAACAAACATGGCGAAATGTACGTCAGTAAAATTCCAGAAAATTGGGCAGATCAGAACATTTTCTGCCTTTAAAAATACTCTGGTGTAATGAGACCACAGGACTGTTTTAAACTGCACAATGTATAATGAGGTCTGGTGAAATAAAAAGATTCCTCCAAATAAGTGTGGTCACTGAGTTTCAGCAGCAGTATGACAGACCAACCATCTGCTTTTAGCCTTCGGTTTTTTAAGGGAACACCTAGTTAAATTACACTTGCACCAGCAAAGCGCACCGCTTGGTCAGTTTTCTTTGCGCTCATGTTTATAACACCCAACTCCAGTTTTATTTGGAAAACAATTAGCGATATGTTTCATCCAAACTGCCATAATGAATAATGAACAGGTTTGAGTTGCATTATTATACTGTCGTAAAGTATAGTAAGTAGCTTCATTCACGTGTCCAAAAACAACGTCATCTCTATTAATATTTATAATTTAAAAACCTAAAAGCATTCAAGAACTCCGAAACTTTAGTACTATCATTTGTTTTCAGGACTGAAAGTTTTAGACTTCTGGTTTATTATGTGTGAAATTCCATGTGAACAAATAGTAATAACGTAACACGAAGAACATAATATAGTAATTATTAGGACGATTAGGAAGCATCGTTTCAATTTCAGGTGGAACTGATGAGGATATCAAAGCGAGGATCGGGAAAGCAAGGCAAGCTTTCATTTCTCTCAAGTCTGTGTGGAGGTCAACAGCACTACTCAGCATGAAAAATAAGATTCGGATTTTCAACTCCAATGTGAAGTCAGTGCTACTTTATGAACCAGAGACTTGGTGCGTCATGAAGGGCACTTCGAACAAACTACGGACTTTCATCAACATCTGTCTTCGCTCAATACTCAAGATCAGATGGCCAGAAAAGATCAGCAACAGAGATCTCTGGCAATGAACGAACCAACCAGGAACCGATTGTGAAACAAATAGGCAGGAAGAAATGGAGATGGATTGGCCATACTCTGAGGAAACAAGCCATCAAGTGACATCACTAGACAAGCCATTGCTCTAGTGGAACCCGAAAGGGAAGCGGCGAGTTGGTCATCAATGAGAGGGTAACATGGAGGAGATCATGCGAAGAGGAGATGAAAGCATGTGGGCAGATGTGGATCCAGGTGTAAACGTTGGCAGAGAACCGAACGCAATGGAGACGTGTGGCTGAAGCCCTATGTTCCTCTAGGAACTAAAGGAGGCAACAATAATAATTACTATTAATCTGCATTTAATATGAAATATTTTACTATCATACAATGATGAAAATTATACAAATATTTACCTGTACACATTAATTTATATGGAATATTCATCTGTTTCCAGATAGGAGCAACTTTTGTGTTGAAAATACTCACAGCTTTTTTCGTACCGCTTTTAGGATTAATCAACACTAGATATGGTTTCACTAAATAAATTGATAAAAACATCAAAAAAGAGAAGTTGTATATGACTCTCTATAATCAGTGTTAAATGACAGTATGAAGTCTACTCTGACTGGACACTAATTAACTGGTGTCATGTGTTTGGTGAAAACTGAATTCTATCAGTCAAATCAATTTGAAGTCTCCCGATTTTGCAGTTGAAAAGTTTCTAGAACAACTTTTAACTTATAATATTTAAACTGCAGCACAGTCTTAAATCAAATCAGTTTGTAATTAGAATGTAAACTTATTATTATATTATAATTGTCCCCTTTGGTTCCGAGTGGAACAACACATCTCTATTTTGTTCTGTTTTCCGCTCTCCTCTTCGGCTGGACCCACGATTGCCCACAATATTTAATCTCCTCTTCACACGATCTTCTCCATATTATCCCTGGTATTGGTATTCCAGTAAAGCAATGGCCTACAATACGCACGATGTTATTCGACAGTCTTCTTAGCATGTGCTTAATCCACCTCCATTTTCTCCTACGTATTTGCTGAACAACAGGTCCGTGTATTAATTCTTTCCACTGGACAATAGATCTTCAATGTAGAACGAAGGCAACTGTCAATAAAAGTCTGCAGATAACTTCTGGAAATGCTTTTCTTGATGCATGAGACATGTCTCTGACCCATATACAAGCATTGACAAACTTGACACTGGTGCTGAAGATCCGAATCTTGTTCTTTATGCTGAGTGACAGCAGAAGATCTCTGAACTGATCTCAGAGTGATGAAGGTGAATCTCGCCTTTCCGATTCTGGTTGGCTTTGACATCTTCATCGATTCCGACCGCCTGTGGTTGAAACGATGCTTCCTAGTGGGAGAAGTGAAGGCAGTGAGTGACCTCTTCCAGATTTATCCCGTTAACGGCAACTGGTGCTGGTTGTTGTTGTTTGGTTGGTTGGTTGGTTACCTTCATCACCTCCGTCTTCTCAATGGTCACCTGAAGTCCTGTGAACATACACTTGGTTTTTAGATTTTATTCGATTGAATATATTATGACATTTTCATAAATGGCATAGGAAAGTAAAGTAGGTGTCTGACAACTTTTATTCTGAAATTTTTAACACAATATGAATTCAAATTGCCTACTCGTATCCTCATCTACAAACAATTCACATACGTACAATTACATTAAAGCATAAATAATTTATTGAACAGTAAAACTAAAAAATGAGAATAGTGAACACAAAATTTAGGTAGGTATTTCAACAACATCAATGAATATATCCTAACATAAACGGTAAAAATTAAAAGTTAACATTGAACAACAATAAAATGATTGATCAAACCAACTACTTCGACTTCATTTAATCAACAAAAACGAGACCGCATATGTTCAGTGAAGTAGCTGTCCAATTCATCAAAAGCAAGGCAAGTTAACTGTTAATATATTAGTTTTTACAGTAATTATCTTACGTGTTGAAAATCTGTTCAAAAAAAATAACTCCTGTCTTCAGTAAAACCCAGTTATGCCATTCATGTCCTTGTAAAACATCTCCTTAGAGTTATAATTGAGTAGCCGTAGATCATAAGTTACATTCAACATCACTTAGAATTAAGGTAGAAAACAATTAGTTCTCAGTTGCATTCTATAAAGTTTAGTTTGAAATTTCTGATAAGAAGAAGAAGAAGACGTGATTGTTGATACACAAGTTGAGCTTTATTTTGTTTCACACTTTGCAGAACACTGTGGTACATACATGTGATAAATAAACTAATCCCAGGATGTTTATTATACATATTTCTACCTTCCAAAAGTAAATCTACATCATCAGTCTACTCTATTCATTTAGAATTACTTTGTTGGTTTCATGAATGTAGTTATTCTGCGGCTTTATATCTTCTCTAGAGGATATCGTCAGATTTATTGGTCGTGGTTGCGAACTGTTGAAGATTAAAGGTGTTGGTGATGACTGCTGGTTTTCGAATAAAGAAGGTCTCAGCTTAAAATTCTGCATAATTACTGTTGTAAAAATACACCTATTTTATTGTGAAATTGATGATACTGATGTTTATTTAATCTCGTTTAAGTTTTTCTTCACCTCCCAACTATTTTGGTTAATTTCCTCCGAAAAAACTTAGTTATCAGCTGAGGTGCAGTCATTCAGCAGTCAGCCTAGTTGAAGAACAGTTATTAAAGAATCAGGACTACCGCTAAACTGATAATGTTTTTTTTCCTGATAACCAGATATCATAGACTATAAAACAGTGCCAGATGCATAAAAATATTAAGCGCATGAAAAAACTTACTATCGGATAACTGTGTATTCTGAAAAAGGAGTTCTGTTGTTCTTATAAATTTATCTGCTTCTTGTTCAGACAAGAATAACATATTAATCGAAGCTTTTGTCAAAACTTTAACATTTGTATTCTTCACATAGTTCTAAAGATGTTTTGATCATTTGAAATTATTTTTTTTTGTTTTGCTTTATAATTTACCTTTTTTATACTGAAGAAATTCAACTTCAGACATGCATTGCCGTTCTCAGTCCATCTTGATCTGACTCCCTTCTTACACCCGATTAACCAGGCTTTGTGGATGTGAATTGTACTGGATGGATAATGATGGTTCCTTATCACATGTATTCCACTTTCATTAAGGTAAACAGTACATTTTATTTTATGTAGGAATGAAACGACATGGATGTCATATGATGAATGAAAACCCTCCTTCATCTCTACAACAATAAGATAAATAAAGAACCCTTAACCGCTTATTTTCTCCAGTCATTATATATATATATATTTTAATGGTAAAAGTGGCCGCAAAAATCATACAATGAAAATAGGAATTTTACCTTGATAGAAAATGCCTTGCGTATGTATTATGATTCAGAAAGCGTTATGGAGAAGACAAATTTATCTGAAAGGTATTTCTTACTGGCTTGATACATTTTATGCAATCTCACAGAATGTATACTTCTTGCGTCAATTCACGTTAAATAAAGAATGAAATGTCCAAAATAAACAAAACAGCAGGATGCTTGAGCATAAAGAGGGTGATAATTAAAGAGTAACAAATGGATAGTGACATTGGTCATGATAATGAAGTCATTTTAGAATTATCGAGGTAGATTGACTGCATAAAAAAATTCGTTTCGCATGAATAAAGGCAACCTGGGGTGAATGTCTAGTTCTACTACTCAAGTATTTAAGTGTTCATTGTTATTTGTGCCTAATTATTGTGGCTACTCAACACGCACAATTCTGCTGAATATTGAACTCCTGGATTCTGTTTGTTAGGAGAGCTGATAATTCATGATTACTAACTACATATACACGAACAATAACCGCATTGCACAGACACTACGGTCTAATTTACGTACTTTGAGTTGACTATTTTAAATACCATTGTGCATAACGCTTATTGAAGAACCTCGGAGATGATATAACTCTTACTCATGTTATTTATGAAGTCAGAAGAAAACTGTACAATTCACTGGGTAGTCTCGCATTTCCCGATAGGCCTGTTTTTCCGGCATATGACAAACTTCTGGAACCTCTAAAAGATCATCCTCATTTCACTCCCTTCAAAGCACACAAAAGAGACTAGTAAACTCGTGAAAATAACATACTATACTGCTGCAGACGAACGATTAAAATTTAGCTCTGATTACTAGCTAGCGCCTCGACTAGTTGACAGTTTATTCGCTAACATTAGTTGGTTCATGCAAGCTTTGGAACACTATGGATTCGTTTATTACTTATGAAGAAGTCAGGAGTACATATGCGACTCCCTTCAAATCGCACTCTTATGTGATGCTATCCGAAGCTGAAATGCAATAAGAATTCTATGATACTCCTAGAAACTATCCGGATAAGTTAGCTGAGAAAGACATGCCTAAACTGATTGGATCATAAAACTGGACTGCTCTAACTGGACCAGCAGTAAAAGCGAATAAAAATGCGTTAGATATACATGACTATTATTACCTCATACCTAACAACTAACTATCACAAAACAGACACACTACGCGGAAAACTGCTGACAACTTATAACGTTTGTGCTTCAAAGTAATATTCCAAATTAGGTTTGAAAGATGCATATGTCCAACTCTTCTTGACAAAGCTTCTCGTGAAGGCTTCTATTAACTCTGAGCCTGAACTCTTCAAGTGAATATTCTCAACATTAAACTCAACAATATCACCAAAATACTTTAAAAAATGATGATTCAGATGGCAGACAGAACAGGCAATCCACAACCATATCAAGATAATATTACAGTCTACGGTCTAAACAGTGACTTCTACAATAAATACCTTCTAAAACTGTTCAGATCTTTATGTAGTAAAATGTCTCAGTTATTCCTTTCAAATATCATTTTTATTTGCCGTTATTATCATACCTAAGCTATGTAGTGGGCCAGAATATGATATGTTTTCTTGACCCAAGCCATAATTAACTACATTTTAGTCTTAATCCAGATTTACAGCCAATGAAACCCAGTATTATCTTTGTTTCTTACAACTGTTCTAGTCGGTAATTTGCTCTGAAATAATGTTTTCAAAATATCCTAAGAAAAAAAGCATTTTCTAGATGATCAAGTTTCCTTAAGACATTCTTCGTCAATAGATAAGTCTGTTCTAGCTGTAGTTGCCACTTATGTATGAGTAGCTGAAACAAAACGAGCAACTCTTAAGAAGTGAACAACGAGGATTTTGAAGTGCGCACAGGTATCATTTCGGTATTGGGGTTCGTACACACATATTTACAATTCATACACTATCCAAACAAACCCTTAAACAGATAAGCTGGTGCTTTGGTTCTAAAGTGGTACTAAAATTGAGTGCTTACAAGTAAACTACTGATTATAGACATGTTGAAGATGTGAGGATTTCTTGTCGCAATGTTAATAGTTTGAATGTTCTCCAAATGACATTAATGGCTTTTTGTTCGACTTTTATTTGTTGACAGAATTCAAACTACAAATAATACAATAAAATGCCATAAAAGTAATCCTGCATATAACAATAAAGGTCAAAATATCCAGTGCCATGGATGATTTTCTTCATTTTGTAGATAAAAATGTGACATTTCAGTATATACTGAAGAATTCTTATGCTTGAACGACAGAATTATAATTCATCTGACATCGAGATCTGCAGTTTTATATGATCATCACTCTCCTCACTTAGCTGCTGAATAGATAAGGTCGTCTGGTTCCTTAAAATACTGGTGAGCCGAAATCAGTGCTTACATAGAGAAAAGCTCAAGGAGCTGCTCAAGTCATCAACATAAAGCATCTTGGATACAACACAGAGTGGTATAGTATTAATAAATGGATGACTTTTCGAACACAATTTGTTGTTCATAACCATACGGGCATTTATAATCTAGAGGGATTTTCCAATGCCTTGGTCATTTATAATAAAAATCATTTCATTGTAAACTTCGAAAACTGGCTCACAATATTAATTACTTTTATCTGTGTGCAGCCACCCATAATTTCTGGCCGAATGGGTTGGCACAAAACCTTAAAATATGTAATGAAGAGTTGCGTAGCACCAGTAAATCTTAACTGTCTAGAAGAAGTAGAAAGTGTGTGTGGAATGCAAGACACACAAATACATGCGAGGAGTCTTTTCTAATCCTAATTCTTTGAAAGTTTTTAGTGTCTATGATTTCATTCACCGTACACCATAACTTAAAAATGTTTGTTGTCCAACAACAAGGATCTAAACAGTAAACGTTTTGAATCTAAAAGTTTATTCTGTTTACAACGGATAAAATAACCAAGTGGAAGTTAAGAAATTAGGTCGTTCCGCCAATGCTTTCCCTGATATCGTCATGAGTGCTAAATATGTCAATAAATTAACTTTGAGAATCACAAGAAATGGCTGCGGACCTGATTCATCTTTTCCTTTCTCTAAGGTAGGGAGAATTCAAGAGCCAAGAATGAATCACATCATCCGATGAGATTTTAAACATGGGACTCACTTCCAGAAGAAGTAATGCCTGCGCCTTCAGATGATTCCTTCAAGGAAGGAAGAAACAAATGCACACTTCGTTGAAAAAGATTTAAACAGACTCGAAGCTTTCTGATCTTAGCTAACAAATCCCCTACGCACTGAGAAGAAAGCCACACTGCAACTGTGCCTGAAGCTCAGTCTTGGTAAGTTTAGTTAAGCTGATGAACCCCTACGTTCGTTTTATCCGCATTGAATAAGATTGTAACCGAAACACTGTCAGTGCTGTTCGACATGTCACTGAGCCATTTATATTATGTAACTCTGTTTTAATCAGTACATCAGAGCTGGTCATTTTTGATTAACAACCTTCTTTAATGCAGGAAAGCTTTGTAAACTTAGGTAAGCTTCTGATCAACAAAACGGTAAGATACTGGATTTAAGACGTCTTTAAGGCTAGAGGACATAGAGGATGAGTTTTTCCAGCCCTGTCATCATGTCAACTGGCGAGTAAGGGCCTTACTTTTTCTTGCATTGTTTAAATTAGATAATGTGAATAATTAATTCATCTTGTTTATTGTTTGATAATGATAAAAGGCTCTTTAGGGTTTTCCAAGACTGTACTGGCTAGTATTGTCAGTGAGGATGAATGATCGATCCAATGATATCAGCTGTAGACTTTAGAGATTTATATAAGCACGCTGTGGTTACGTGTATCTCTCACAACAACATGCGAAATTATAGTTACGGAGTATAATGACTTAGCGCTCATTGAAAATTGGAATATGATATGACAACACTCTAAAACTGAAAAGCTGTGATCAACTTATTTTTATCTGGAAGTTCATTCCTCGAAATGAATTCTGAGCGAGTAGGATTCTGTACCGAAGAACGCAGAATGGACAAAGCCCTCATTGTACAGAAAATCAGAGGTTAATTGTGCAGATGCTATCGTCAATAATTCGTTTATTGGGAATACTATCTTTAAGCGGTAACTATATATAACAGTATAGTTAATTCAGATATCTTTCAGACAAAATCTATGCTGTCTTAATGAGAATAAGACGTATTTATATGAAAGTATCTAAGTATAAAATTTAAATTCACACTATTTGTGCATAAAATAACTTGTTATAACTTGACTTACATTAAATGTTAGTCTCGAAAACTCCAAATATACTTTGAAAATGCAACCCAGAACTTGTATGAAGCGAAATATTTTAACAAAACTGGTGAACATTTTATAACTGTTTTCCCCTAGATATTTGTATGTATTATACATATATTTCAGTCTTTTTTTATCACAGATTGTAATCTGTGTCGATTTTTTTGGCTACCAGAAAAAAGTGCAATTCAACATCAGTTGTAACTAAATAAGAGAATCGACCATTGTTCCTTCAATGACTGTTGCCCTTTTCACTGTATATTATCAACCATATGGATTTATTAAAGACTTCTCCTTAGTGTTGAGGTTATTGTTACTATTTTTGGTGGGTTACTGCTATTCAAATGACTCAGCTTTGGTGTGTCGTCTGAGTGGTAGCATACAATGCATTAAGTCTGCTGTATGGTCAGTTATTAGACTTGGTGAAAAAAGAAATAACGATGATGCAGCAATAATAGCACTTGAAAACCAAACTGAATCAATAAATGAACAAATAGGGTAAACAGAAGTGTGGGACAAGTAAGACTCCGGAAGACATTTCACTAGGAGGGTTTGTCAGGATTACATTTTATTATGTTTGGCCTGTCAGCTAATTGATCGAGCACA